ATAAACCATATAGATGTACCATCATCATATTACTACCAACATTACTCTTACAACTCTCTTGTTGTTGTTGATGTAAGTATAATGATATTCATACAATACAGTTGTTTGCTTTATTATTATGAATGCTCATACTGGTGCATGGTATCTTAAGAAGGTAGTCATACGATATAGGTAGGGTTACTATTGGGTCCATCATAATTAGATGGGTATTCATCATCACCCTTTTAGTGAGACAGGAGGTTCAAGCTTGGGTGTAAGGTTCTTCTTTCGACATCTGTTACAACTTGGAAGGATAGGAATCCACAAGTATTACTACAAAGTATTACTAGACTTAATATTATTAATAGGTAGAAGTAGTAACAACACATAGTCAATATGAGCATCCACAGCTTACTGGCGAATGGGCTAGTGGTGATACTTATACTACTAATATGAGGAAGCTAAGACCCTGGCAAGTAATAATAACAAGAGGACTATATTATCTAGTATTATCGTCAATGTAGATAGAGGATTTAATGAATCTATACCGTAATAGTGAAGGACCTAATCTATTCTTACGACATGGGGGTCCTAGGATATGGACCGAACGAAGGAGTATACAAGGATTATGGCAACCATCACCTGAGGGTCATATTATCAACATCATCTTGTATAATAGTTATTATATTAATTGTAGGTGCGTTGGTTGCATTAAAATGGTTCCATAAGCCTGATAAACCACCAGTGTATTTGAAATACAGTCCGACCTCAATCAAATTAGCCCGTCAACATATATCCTATTCTAAAGGGAGGTAATAGTAGTAATAGTAATGGTGATAGTATTATTGAAGTAGGTGGGGTGATATAACTAATGATTATGATCATACTACCATCACTAAAGGTTTCTATCGTCAAGAGCTTGAGGATATCTTTAAATCACCATTCATAGTATGATTATTATTACAGAGAACTGTTGACATGTTTCTGTTACCTTGCTGTGGTGTAATACTAATTAATAACTCCTTTTTAGTGAGTATATTATCAATAATGGTCCTCTATTATGCAGCATTGGATTTTGAATGTAATAATAATAATACTGAGTATTGGTGGTGGATATCAGTGCTTCTAAGCACTTGTTGCGATCACAAGCTGAATGGTTAAACGAGATATTGAGTTTCCAGTAGTATTTGTTAATT